TAGGGGGCCCCACCAACCTACCCCCCACATGCAAGTCTTCTGGGCACATCTGATGGTGTCCCCAGGACCCCATGAAGCTGCCTTTACCTCTGGGCCCCTGAAAGCTGGGCCCTTGGGGGTGGGAGGTGAAGCGTGCTGCATCCTTAGCACCTCCACCTTGGCTGTGTGCTTGGGGTTGGGGGTAGTTAGGGCCCAGGTCAGTCAGGAAGACGCCCTGCTGGGCACAGCCTGGGAGGGATGGGAAGGCTCCCTCACTGTTCCCATGACCTGAAGCTGCACAAGCCCCGCCCATCTTGCTCTTGCTGAGGAAGCAGGCTAATACTGTTGCCACTGAGTCATCCCGAGCCCTGTGGCCCCGAGGAACTGAGGAAAGCCACCCTCTGGGTTTCCACCGCTGGGCATCTTCACGGAAGACAGAGAAGCTGGCGGGTGCCAACTCTGACCCCCCGGTTGGCAGCCCATGGCTCCTTGAGGGAAGGAACTGGACGGACAGAAATAGCCAGTCCCCAAATGGGCCAGAAGGGCCTGGGAAAATGCCTTCCAGAAGAGACGAGGGAGAGGATCCTGGGGCTCCATCCACTTGGGAACCTGTGAGGCTGTGCAGCCGTGGGAGGTCCCACAGGCCCAGCCACGAACAGGGAGACAGTGCTGGTGACAGAGGGTGGGGCTAGGAGCCCAGAGTCGGGGGACAGAGTGGAGCTGGTGAGACAGCAGGGTAGGGCCAGGGTTCTGAACCAAGTGTCCTAAAACAGGCATGAGTAACATGGTGTATGTATAACCTGTGTGTGTGAGTGAGTGAGTGTGAGTGTGTGTGTGTGTGTGTGTGTGTGTGTGTGTGTGTGTGTACCGACACTCCTGGGTGATTCCGGAGGGCATGAATAAGGGGGGCAGGTCCCGGCTCTCTTTTCCACCCCACCTCACCTCCATAGCCCTGCTCCCCACCTCTAACCCGGCCTGCCTGTTTTCCAATGTCCACCCACACTCCAGTGCTCCATACCACCTGGAGCTCAGAACTCTGGGCCAAGACACAGGCCAGAATGCATGTTAGCACAAACACATACACATTAATGTGCACGCACGCTCTTTCATACCGAGGGTCTCCGAAAAGTTGACACATTTGTTGATACCACTAGTCTCCCCTCCTCTCTTTCCAGCCACACAGATGGCTTCCAGGAGCTCCCCCACACCCTGGGAAACTGAGTCCCTGAGAGGTCATGTGACTCACTTGAGCCCCCAGAACCAGTTGAGTGGGAGGGCAGCGACTGGTGCCATTTTCTCAGGGCCCCCAGCAGGCAGAGCATCCTGGGATTGGGGGGCGAGGGAGGCTGTGTGTCACACGGATGCCAGCATCAACAGCGTTGTGTCCTGATATCGCCGTCTTTCTGCCCCTCCCCGCCCCTGCCCTTTCTGGATGTTAGCTGCTTTCCTAAGACAAGCGGTTTCTCCTTTCAGAAACTCTATGTTCTCATCTGCTGCTGAGAGATCAGACGTGCTTAGCCCAGTGCCTGGCTGCCCACTGGCTTGGTGGCTTTCCAGGCTCCCCTCCTTGATGGGGAGCTCCTTACCCAGCCCCACCCAGCCCCTCAGGGTTGGGCAGCTCCTTCAGATCATTTCAGTCATTCAACCAAAGCTTCCTGCCGGCCTACTATGTGCTGGTGGCAGACAGCAGTGACACCACTTGCCCAGAGCGCTCCCTCCGGTTCTCACAGGCAGGAGCAGCAAGCCCGAGTCTCACAGGGGTCGTCACCAAGGAGT